ATATGGCGGGTCCTGGAGATCGTCCTTAAACCAATGGAAGCGCAAGGCTTTCCCTTCCAATGAAGCCACCTTGCCCCCTGCTAGAACCTTTGTCTTAAACTTGTTAATTATTTCCTTAGCCTTATCTGGATTTAACTCTGCCTGCCTCTCCGCTTGCTTCTTGGCTCTCTGCCATTGTGCCCTGATTTCTGTTTCCAGCAGGTTGTACATTATTCCTCTGGATTCCATTATAGTCATATGGTTCTCTCCTACCACCCTTTGACATCTTCTTTTCCACACTGTCCACAGCGCGTAAAGCCTCAGTATCCGGAAAATGTGTTTCTGGCAGGAATTCCAGTCTTTGGGCGCTTCCATGTTGATTAGGAGTCTGTCTCTGATCGGAGGGAAGGGAACTTCCGTGATCTGGGACCATAGTACGCGAGCTAACGCCCATACCTTCTCTGCCTCCGGGCATGAGATTAAGCAGTGGACCATCGTTTCCAGAGCCCCACCCGTACATAGGGTACAGTTTCGTTCCTCCTCTTCCTTAGCTTGCCTGCTTCTTCTTTCGTACAACCAAGAGTTGACAGGGAGGGCCACATGGAGGATGAGCCACTGTAGACTTCTGATCTTACCCAATCTTATACTGTGAAGGGACGACCAGGGCAACTTCCCCACCTGGTCTCTTGGTATTCCCTCTCTCTTTTCCCATCTTAAGGCTAGGGGAAGATCCGGATAGGCTAGGGGAAGATCCAGATGGGTTGATCTTCTCCTCAACCTATAACCTAGTCTCGTTGTATAGCGGAGAATGTTAATCTTCGTTGTCACTCGTGTCTCTCCACCCCTAATATTCCATGCCCATTCCGCCGGGTTGTACTCCAAATCTTCAATGGCCACCGTGGGTGCAAATACTGTAAATTCGTCATCCTCTACCACCCTGATCTTCCTGAGCAGGCACTTCTTAACTGTGATTGCTGTCTTGGATTCTTTATCCAGGTGACTCATTGTGATTCCCGGATTACGAATTACGAACATCTCTGCATCAAGCCACTGTTTATCGGGGCCCACTTCCTGCTGCACCCGGAAGGCCTGCTCTGGAACTGCACTTATGTGCCAGGTCGCCCAATCACCCCATTCCCATTTGTACGGCCCTCTCAACAACTGCGTCCATTCTTGCGGAATGGATACTAGAAAGTCGTTTAGATTCTCTGTAAGCTTATGACATCCTTTCATCGTATCTCTCAGTTCTCTCCCTGTCTTCCGTCTATTGTCATTCTGGGACCATAAGTGCTTGATCTGCCAGACCCCGTGTTCCAACCAATTCCCCCATCTGGTGTCCCTAGCTGTTAATGTCCTCGGCTTCCCTTGRGAATCCTGTAACCAGGGGTTACAGAACAAGGGTTGCCTGAGGACTTCCTCCTTGGATCTAGGTTTYCGTACTCTAGCCGGGAATATCTCTTCCCATATCCTAAGAATCTGTGCCCAGTATGATGGGAAGGAAGTTCCCTCCTCACCCCCCCGCTCCCTTGTCCTACCCCTTTTTGCCCACCCTTTGCAGAATATCCAAAAGGTGCCCTCCATATTTGGAGGAGTTGAGAACTTCGAAAGTCCTCGTATGTGCTCCAATACTAGGGGAACCCAGCGCAAGTGGGGTTGCGTTACCAGCTTGATAATCCATTTTGATTGGAGTGCCTTAATCTGCTGTTCGGGATCCAGGATGCCCAGTCCCCCCCGATTCTTTGTTTGTGTTACTTGTTTCCAGGCAACCTTGGAAATGAAGTTATCCTTGGTCGGGTTCCCTGTCCACAGATAGGCTGCTGCAACCCTTCGGAGCCTTCAAAGTGTTGATCCTGGGGTGACCAGAGCCTGCCCGCATACCATAGCATGGAGAAGATGGAGGCATTGAGGACCAAGGCTCTCCCGTACAGGGAGGTATAAATGGTAGACCATGCGTCCAGCTTTGCTAGCATTTTGGTCATTTGATCAGGGGCCATGGAGTGATGGGGGCCCTCGTCCACTAGCCTAATCCCCAGATACCTCAACGGTTGGTGTGGGGGTAGCCACTCCATTCCCCCATGGTCAGGGGGTTGGGGCTGCTGTTGCTGCTGGTCATATATAAGCCACCATCCTATCGTTTTAGGCCAGTTAATTCTCCTTTCCGATGCCAACTGGAATGCTTCCATCGCTTTTGTGAGTGCTTGAAAAGAGGAATCCGTGGCCTTGATGAGTACTGTGAGATCATCTGCGAATAGTATCGTGGTGGGTAATTCTATTATACGCCCCTGCTGGTCCGGTTCTGCTATTAGACGGTCGATTGAAGGGTCTTTCCTAAGGAATGAAGCTATGGCTTCCATGATAAAAAGAAAGATGGGGGCGGCTAATGGGTCACCTTGCCTCACTGATCTAGTCATTCTGTATCTATTTGAAAGATATCCGTTGACTTGTACCTGACCGTGTGAATCGTTGTATAATACTCTCACCCACTTGCGAAAGTTGGGACCTACTCCCATTTTCTCCATACATTGCTGTAGAAAAGGCCAGCTGACCTGGTCATATGCTTTTTCGAAGTCAAAGAAGAGGATAGCCGCGTTCATTCTTTTGTTCGCTATGAATCTCACCGATTCCAATAAAGTCATCACGTTGTCCATGATGAATCTCCCTGGGATAAAGCCTGTTTGATCCAAGTGGAAGCAGTTGGCCGTTAGCCTCCTCAAGCGGTTCGCTAATGCTTTGGCCACTATCTTGTGTGTTAGTGTCAGGAGTGTAATCGGTCTGTAGTTTCTAATGTCCCTAGGGTTTCCCTTCTTATACACTAAGGTGACTACCCCTGTTGATGATTCCGTTCCCATGCCTTCGTTGATCCATGCCTGGTTCAAGAAGGTTTCGTATTCCCCAACCAAGATTTCCCAATACTCCTAGAACTCCCTTGTTAGTCCATCCCTGCCCGGCGTTTTGTTTGGAGGCATTGTATCTAAATCCACTCTCAGCTCTTCTTCCGAAAGCGGGGTGTCTAGCATTTCTGCCTGGACCCCATTCAGCGTGCGGTCCAGGTAGGCTAGGAATTTATTCCGAACTTCCTTTACCTGTATTGGATCCTGGTCCCCTTCTCTAGACCTATAGAGTGAGGTGTAGAAGCTACTAGCTACCGACAACAAACCTTCGGGATCTGACACTATTCCCTGAGGGCCTTCCAGCTGTTCTATTTGCAAATTCCTACCTCTGGTTTTAATCTTTTGAAAGAAATACTTTGTCATTCGTTCTCCTTCTTCCCATTCTTTTACTCTTGCTCTCAACTGCATACCCCTAGCCCTCCAGCGTTCCCAGTCCCCTAACTCCCTTCTTGCCTCCTCTATTGTGGTTTCGTATAATTTTGTTTCCGGGTTGCTGATTAGGTTCCTCTCTGCTATACGTAGGGCTTGCCGAAGTTCCTGTTCCCTAGCTTTCCTTCTGGCTGCTAACTGCCTGGCCACTGCTGACGATGCTTGCGTCAGTGCATTGATTAAATCAGGGAACGACTGTGAGTCGCTGTCGTGGTCCAAGCATACCTCTAGTATGGCCTTTCTTAGCTCTAGAGTTTTTAGCAGGGAATTGTTTATCTTGTGGAAACTTCTGCCCCTCTGGATATGTTTATTTAGGGTCAACTCTAGCGTCACCGGTTTGTGGTCTAGACATGTGCAGTGCGGCAGATCACCTATTTCGATCGAGTGAAAAGATCCTGTCAGCTCTTCCGATACTAGGAAGTAATCTATTCTAGAGGCTGACATGTGCTGGTTGCGATTCCTTTTGTAGTAGGTGTATTGTTTCTGGTTTGGGTAGTGGAGGCGGAAGGGGTCAATAAGCCCCTGGGTTATCATGAGTGCGTGAATTGGTAAGGCCTCTTCACCCGGAGGCTCATCCCCTGATCCTGATCTTCCCCCCATTATCCTATCTAAACCTGGGTCAAGAGTGGCATTCCAGTCACCTGCCAGTATGACATGTCTCGTTGCCTCCAAGTGGCCTTGTATTGATTGAAGCATTTCTGCTCTACTCTGGTAGGAGTTGTGGCAATAAATTGTGACTAATGAGAATTGTTCCTCCTGATAAGTGAAGTTGAGCTTCACCCATCTACCCTCCTCCTCATCCGTCGAGGCTTCTAACAGAGACAACTTGTTTGCTACCGCCAACCTCCTATTGAACAGAATTACCACCCCTGCTGAGTGCGGTCTATTTGCCACAACCCAAAAACTAGCCTTCACCCATCTGAGTTGCTTTTCTATACGTTGCTGTGTCTTTTGATGTGCCGGCGAGTCAGTGAGGTGGGTTTCTTGAAGACATAAAAAATCTGGGGGGTTCCTCCCGAACCAATCCGTGGCCTTTAATAAATTATTCCATTTATCCTTATTGTCTAAAATCTGTGCCATGCCATTAACGTTCCAAGACACAATTCTGATTTCCGGTTCCCTTCCCCCCTCTCGTGACGATAATCTTTTTCTCTTGGTTCTATCCTCCATCACTACCCCTGCYATTTATATTATTCCTTRAATATGGTCCACTAACGAGCTTTTCTTCACGAGCCCTCTTGTGGCCACTCCCAATCAGCCGCCACGTCTGCTAACCAAGTGTCCATGCCCTCTGGCGTCCCCGAGAAAACATCTGTCTTGGTGAGGATCGCTGCTCCCCTAGCCACCCATTCCGCTGCCTCTGTGCCTCCCAATAGTCCGTATGGTATTGCCTCCACCACTTGCCAAGGCATCCATATTAATCCCTCCGCCAACTTTGCCTTCTCTTGCATTCTGAGTAGAATGGGCCTGTAGTCAACTGTTTGCATCCCACCTGCCGTGTCCTCCCACTCCTCCCGATCTTGGGAAAGGCTTCCTACCACCTGAGCCATGTCCGGGAGATCTCTTGAGATCTGTTCCTTGAGCCTTTCCTGTGAGCAGTGACTGTCCTTTGTAACGATTAGGGCCAATGTCTTGTGTATGGCCACCTCCCAGTCCGAGTWTCCGYTGTTCCAKSGGTAYGGTATGATGACTCTCCTCCYCGGATTGTGCCTTGCGAAGAGCTTGGCTGCTGCGTTTATGTCAGCCTGTGGAGAGTAGGCTATTTTTAGCAGATTGATGGTATCCTCTTCCAATTCCGTGTTTTGATCCTTGAGGACATTGATTTGTGCCTTCAGGATTGCTGCTTGTCTCATCTCCTCCTCGATCTGCTCCTTTTCCTCCGTCCCTTGGGCTGGGCTTTCTGATTCTTGCTGCGCTTTCCTTTTTTGCTCTGACCTTTTCAATCCCTGAGGATGGTACGTTTTGGGCCATGTGAACTGCTTGGCGTAGTTCCCGTTGTGTACCAAAATGTCGTTGTTGTTTGGGTGGGCCTTCCAAGCATACTGTGATGCGTAGAACTCATTGACCTCCTGCTCTTTCCTCAACCATTTAAATCTGTTTGTTGAGGTAATATCATCCCCAGCTGAAGTAGCCTGCTTCAGGTTGCGTAGATGCTTATGATGTGCCAGACGTACTTCACATTCGACGTGTCTTTCCCACTTCAGCTTGTGTACCGTTCTGATCCACTGGCCTAGCATTTCCAGTTCCTCCTCCTCCTTCGCATCCTCCCATTCCTCCCCTTCAGTGTCTTCTCCTGTGTATTCTCCTGTGTCTTCCCCTGAGTCCTGTGACATTCTAACATCCTCCCCGCTATCCATATCTCCTTTTGAGTCCTTCGGTGGATCTGCCCTTACGTTTTCCCCGCTGTCCATCCTTGCTCTGCTTGATGGGCTGTTACCTGCTGATGGTGAGCCTGGGCGTGTGTGTTGATCCGAAGAAGAAGATGACGAATCCTCTGCCTCTTCTGCCTCCGATGGAGTTATGTCCATCCCCTCACCCTGTGCCTTAGCCTCCCCTTGTCCCTCTTCTCTCGTGCCCGATCCATGGACTTGGCCCTGCGACACTGAAGCTTCCTCTTCCCTCTTGCCCGTATGAGATCTTTTTGTGTCCAATACCTCCCGTAGATGTTTCTCTGTCACTCATCTTCCTTTTGAATGCCCCCTGCGAATCCCCCTCCTCTCTTGCCTTGCTGATCCTTGTCTCTCTTGTCCCCTCCCCGCGCAGTCCCTCACTTTGACTCGAGGTTTTGCTGCCCCCCACTTCTTTTTCTTCCTCTCTCCCCTTGCCCCCCTCCGCTGATTTCTCAGCCTCCTCCCTCGCTCTTTTGTTCTCTAAAAAGGCCATTTCAGCTTCTTGCGGCAGCTTATGCAGTTCGGCCATGGTCTGCAAACGCTGTTTGTCATCCAGAACTGTGTCCTCGTCTATCATCGGTTTGTGGATGTATCCCACATCTTTGTCCTCCATACGCTTTGCCCCTGCAAGTCTCCAGCGGCTATCGTAAGGTGGGTAGATGTCTGGCTTCAGCGTGGGTGTACCGCTCAGGACCCATATCCATCTTGGCTTCTCCAGATTGTCGTCGAAGATCCAACCTCTGTATTGTGCTGAGTTAATGTACCAAACCCCTGGCTTGTTGTCCGCCTCGACTAACATTGATTGTTTTAGTTGTGGTTGCCT